ATCTAATTTTTGAATTAATTTTAATAGATTTGAGTTCATTTTTAAAAGTTATGAAAACATTTTGAATGTCATAAAAATTGCTGATAAAGAGACCGCAAGAGGGGGTCCAGGGGGCAGCCCCCTGGCTAGGCTCTGGGAGAGTGCCCTGGCCTTGGGCAATCAGCGTCAATTTGCTGTGGCGACCTCAGCAGGATACAATGACACAGAGTCCACCATTTTCTCCAGAGGAAGTGCTTCTTCTTAATCTGACTGAGGGCTGCTGGGAGCAGGGGGTGGGGCTTGTTGCATGTGCCCGCCCCCTGGGCACTTTACTGCCGGAGCTCCACTCCTGTACGCTCCTGCAGGAAATGACCCCTGAGCACCACACCCTAGAGTCGGATTTGACTTGCTTTGGAGCAAGGGAAACCTTTACCTTTAGGTTAGCAGAGGTGAAATATTGTAAAGGACAGTCAAATGCAGTCTTGGGGCTGTCGCCCAAATGGCCCAGACGTGTACAGCCCTTGATGCTTGGAGTGCCTCACTTATGTGTCCAGCACACACCTGTATTCTTGGATAAACTTATATTAAGGGGCTACTGAGATCCTGGACTTGAGCAGCTGTTCGTTAACGGAATGGGGAGATTCCTGGAAATAAAGGCAGAAAATAGAACCAAATTCAAACCTTTATTTTGAAAATAAGGGAAGCAGGAAGCACACAGAGCACTGAGCACTCACGTAAACACTCACAGAACAAAGTCTGAGTCCAGTAACCAACAAAGTTTTATTCAAAGGGTAAGCTTTTGTGTGCAGAGCACATTTCTTATTCCATTTGTCTGAAGAAGCGTGCTTTGCACACGAAAGCTCACACTTTGAATAAGACTTTGTTGGTCTCAAAGGTGCCCCACTGGACTCAGACTTTGTTCTGCAGCTACAGACTGACGCCTACCCCAACTGAATTTTTGTAAACACACACAGTAAATTCTAATACTTAAGTGATACAATAATCAAAAAAGGAAACAAAAGAAGGGTCTATCTTGAAGAGAGTGGAAAGGGTAACAGGGACTCACAGCAGAAGAGAAGAAGCAGCAGGAGTCATTTCGTAGAAAAAGAGGTGCAGGAGCTCATTAGCATAACTCATTAGCATGACTTGTTTGCATATGCCACACCCCCTGACATCACCGGAAGTGTGTCAGAAGGCAACACCCACCGCCGCTCAGGCTCCACTGGACTGTTTTGGATTGCTAGCTATTGGGGGGGAAGGGAACGTGCAGATCTGTTCTTGCAGAAGAGGAAGAGCTTGTACCTGAATAAACCTTGGTCTTAAAGGTGCCACTGGACTGTTTTGGATTGCTAGCTATGGGGGGGGGACACACGCAGATCTGCCCTCACAGAGGAGGGAGAGCTTGTACCTGAAGGCGGTCCCAGGGGGGGGGGCTCTGCAACTTATCTGGCTGCTTCTTGCTCCTCGTGGCCCAACTGAGGGCTGCTGGGAGTAGGGGGCGGGGCTTGTTGTATGTGCCCACCCCCTGGGCTTCTTACTGCCGGAGCTCCGCTCCTGTGCACTCCCACAGGAAATGACCCCGGCCCTGAGAAGAAGAGATTGGATTTCTACCCCGCCCTTCACTACCTAGAGGAGTCTCAGAGCGGCTTACAAACTCCTTTCCCTTCCCCTCCTCACAACAGACACCAGGCTTGATTTGATCTAAAACCCACTTAGTTGTCTTTTTGACAGCCCACGGTATCCATAAAACTGCCCTCCCACACCACGTTTCAAGTGCGTACACAGGTATAATCTTACTGAACAGCTTT